TACTTTGCAGACCTCGAGAAAACGTATTTTTCAGACGGGTTAAAGAAGTTGGAGCATCGCTGGGTCAAGTGTATCGAGCTAAAAGGAGACTATGTTGAGAAATAAATCGCCACTTTCCCAAAATTTTCGTTTTTCTTTTGTAGGCTAAGTACTTATCGGACCACCCTCGTATAATCCTTCCATTCCTCTTGATAATCATTTTCATTCCAAAAACTATTAAATATACTCAGTATCTCCCTTTTAAATTCAACTGGCAAATCTCTTATTATTATTCTATATTTTATTCCATCCATTTCTGGCATCGATTTGACATTAATTTTTCTAACTGCTCTCACTAATTCTTCTTTCATAAAATCCTGGTCAAGATTTTTCACTCTTCCATTTCTTCTCCGTTCTCCTCCACCTCTAACTTCCACTTCTCCTTCCTCCACCCAATCTCTTCCCAGTCTCTTTATTTCCTCCCTTACTGTTTCCGATCTATCTTTATCTTTCCAATCCTTCCAATTTACTATAACTATTCTAAGAATCCCTAAAAATCGACATCATTCTCCACAGATGTCATTCCCATACTCTTTTATTAATGCCTTCCACAAAGGATAAAACCTTTTTTCTTCTTCCTATCTACTTTTCCAGCCTCCATCCTTATTCTCCTAAACTCTTCAAAGTTTCAAAGTTTTTATAGGTTTTGTTTTCATAAGTTTTCTTAAACATCTTTCAAGCACCATCTCTCCACATTCCTTATCCGACCATTCCACTGAATATTTTCTCTTTTCTCTATCTTCATTTTTGTATACACTTATTTGCTTGCCACCCGTACCTTCGCTCCTCCATTCCTTTATACCTTTTCTCGCTTTACTAGATGCCATTATCATCACTTCTTTCATTTTATTACATATAAACTTATATTTATCTTTACTTGCCTCATTCTTGTGACCTTTCTTTTTTAATTTAAAGATACAAGACTCCATTCCTCTTAAATATTTCTTCCAATCTGTCATTCTACTCGATAATTTGTTAGTTTTTTTAACATAATCTTTCTTACTAAATCCCGTAGGAACAATTATCGGATAATGATTACTCTCCCACATATCCTTTTCTTGTCTACACCTCAACCCACCTACAATTTCTTCGCTAGCAAATACTGAATCTAAATTATTAGATTTCCTGACATCTCGCATCCATGTCTTAATATTCTTATTTACAACATAAAAACCTTTCCTCCATACATTCCATATAAGATAAGAATTGATATTAGACTAAATATACGTATACGTTAGAAGTTAAGAACAAGTAAAGAGAAATATAAGCAAAAGTTGAATAACTAGGATATGATAGAATATTAATATTGAAATCTACATGGAAAATATTATATAAATAATATACAGGGTGAGTTTTTTAATCTTAACAAACAAATATTTCGGAAATGTGCAATTTTACAAAGAAATGTTTCAAATAAAAGTTATATGGTTTAAAGGACATACAATGGTGCCCTTTGACCTTGAAACGTATATTTAAGATCAGATCAAGATCAATTTAATTTTTTTAAATGGAAACTTCATCTTTTATTATATCTTCATTTTCTACCAATTGATTTGAATAACTTTTGTTTGAAACGCTTTTTTATTTGCCTAATATTTTTTGAGATATTTAAGAAAAACTTAATAACTTTTTCAATATTTAACATTTGATATATTGCTATTTATCGGGAGGAAAAATAGTACTAGACTTTTTTATTCTACTTGGTCTCAAGAACATATTGTTATAATAGCGCCCTGACTTTTATTAATTTGATGATTTTGAAATTTCCGAAAGTCAGTAAGGTAACAAAAATTAGAGCACAATATATCTGTTTAAAGGTTATTATTATTCAAGAAAACTATCAACTACAAAAAATATCCATAACATAAATTTTTACAAGTAAAATTTATCATTATTTATTAGAACACTGAATCATATGGTTATTTTAGTTGTTATTATAACACATTAATTATTATAACAATGCAATAACAAATATTTAATACAAAAAATCTTGGCGCGGCTATACCAAAAACTATACTTACTGACTTTTGAAAATTTCAAAATCATCAAATTAACAAAAATCAGGGCACTCTTGTAACAATATATTCTTGAGACTAAATAAAGCAAGAAAATCTAGCACCATTTTTTCTTCCGACAAATAGTTAACGAGATATCGTAAGTTAAATATTGAAAAAGTTATCAAGTTTTCCTCAAATATCTCAAAAAATACTAGACAAATAAAAAAATGTTTTAGACGAAAGTTGTTCAAATTAATTGGTAGAAAAAAACAATATAATAAAAAATAGGGGTTCCCATTTAAAAAAACACAAGCTGACCTTCAAAAGACCTTCAAAATCGAAGTCAAGATAAAATATGAGGTCACACAAAAAAATAAAACTTTATGAATCCTAAAACTTTTGTTCGAGTCATTTTTCCCTATAATGCATAGATTCTGAGATAGGGGGGGCAGGTCCGTCGGGGAAGGAGTGCCGGCGCAGTTCCCCTGACTCCTCACATTCCGGCCCGATTGGTAGACACCCCGGTGGGGTTTTAGGGTTAAGTATTTATAAAAATACTTAATAATTACAAGACACATAAGCATGTAGACAGGTCGTAATATTCAGTATGTTTATCTGATATCTTTTCAGCACAACAAAATCACGCAGAACTGCTCTGATCAGTTGCGTTCAGTGTACATTTCTATTGCTCAATAATCGCTCACTCATCGGATGTTCAACTGTTGTACAACTGTTGAGTTTCGTGAACGCACCTATTGTTATTTTATGTCCTCCTTGAAACCATACAATTTTTATCTAAAACGTTTTTCTCCGAAATACTTAGTTTTTGAAAGAAAAAGAATGTACAGGTGGTCTTGAACACCCAGTATAATTATAAATAGAAAATTCCTACATCATGGAAAATTAAAAAGTTGAATGAACTTATTTGTAAGTAAAGTTCTATTACATGAAGTGTGAAGAACCTTCATACTTTATACCTTTTTTCAAATATCTTAATCTAATATATATCCACACATATAGATAGCTAAACCTGCAGAAATAGATTTTGCACATCTGCTATAAATTTTATCAGCAGCTTACTGGTAAAAATACAAAAAGGATTTGTTAGTAAGTATAGCAATAAATTGACAGTAGAAATTAAGCAAAATGAATTGTTCCATAACTATTTAAATATATTTAATCTTTAAAGAATCTTGTGAATGATATTTCATCCCATGCGAATTTTGTTTTAATCATATCAAAAAATGTAACCACTATTTCTAATTTCTAATAGGTATTTATATACACTATCTAACAATATTATTATAAAACAGATTAATTTTCCTTTTACTTAATTTCTTTTGCTATAAACATAGCAAAAGAACATTAACTTGGAGTGATATTTTATCCACAATATTTTAAATGTAAGATTTTCTAAAGTTATAAAAGAAATATTTAATTCAATTTTTATTATCAATCGATCGAGCAATATATTTGAGCAATAATTCTTTAAATATATGCCAAGAAACAAAAAATCAGAAGTCATACAATATTACAACTCCATAAAAGGACTGGATACTTTTCTGACCAGCTTTGCAAAAAATTTCATACAGCTAATAAACATAAAGATAGTCTCTAGCAGTATTATAAAGAATGTTTAATGCAAAAGGAATAAACTAATATTATTTTTCCATTCTATAACGCTGTCAATTAGATCAAAAACAGCACATAACAAAATTATCTTTTATAGACTTAGGATTTTTTCTGACAAAACTGTTTTTAAAAGAATGGTTAAGAATTCCAAATTTACCATATAAATTATAAAATTTTGGAAATGATTGACGATAGTATTGAGGATACCGTGCTAATATTATCAATATCACTATCTATATAGGACAGGACAAATATTGACTTTAACCAAGAAAAAAGGAGTAGAAATATATTAATAAAGGCACAATATATAAAAAGTCTGACTTTAACCAAGAAAAAAGAAATAGAAATATATTGATAAAGGCATAATATATAATAAATCTATTTGCAGTAACCATTGCAATATTATCTGTAATTACTGTAAACTTATAAATATATAACTTCCCTAATATTAAATAATCTAATATTCAATAATAATAAAACAACTAATTGCATTTGATTTTTGATTTTTAAATTAAAAATATTGGGACAAAATTTCATCCATGATAGTATTATTCATTCGTTGATAGTTTTTAAGGATTAAATGGTCTATGTTCCAGATCCTGCTTAGTTTTTACCATCAATCTGTTTTCAGGTTATGTCAATAGGCTATGTCAACAAAACATGAGTTTAATATGAACACAAATGGTTATAGATTTGCTATTCTGATATTCTAATCAAATCTGCAAGTCTGCTAGTATACTGATAACATTTTGTCTGTTAAAACTATTATATACAGAATATATACAGAAAATATATACAGAAAAAAATTAATTTATAAAAGAAAGAAGTATATGGCTCTACTAAAAAAAAATAGAATTGACTTTAAGATTTCTATAAAACCATTATTATCAAATCAATATAATATAATATCAATACAATAACTGACTTGCTTAAAATAATTTAACCTTTGTATATATCTCTTTATTTTGTTTGTCATATTCTTAGAAATAAATCCATTTATAAATTACAATCATTTTATATGAAATATTACATGGAGTACTATTTATTTTGAAATGTTTGGAAATATTACTATGCTAAGAGCCATGATATTTTTATAACCAATTTTTTATAATCAATAAAATAACCTATAAATAATCCATAAAAAGATATATATACATATATATATATATTTGCATAGCTTATTGATTATTATAAAAAAGTATTTTAAGTCATATTATAACAGCAGCTATTATCATTTATAAACATTTACTTTTGTTTTAATTACTAAAATGTATATATTTATACGACGAAAAATATATGAATAAAGAAATCAGTTATTATTATTATACTTACATCAAATTTTCGTATCTTTAACCTTCCCTCCGCCGCTTTAAAGAAAGTATCATGTTGTTTTATTATAACTGCGTTATTTGAACCACTTAGCTCTTTAGCTTTTGATATAGCATAATTAATATCCTTAAGCCTTCCTTTTATTTCCACGTTGCGGCTATTCATTTTCCAAGTTTACTTTTCCCTTCAATAGAAAGACGCTATTTTCTACATTTGAAATCTTAAATTCCATACAGAAAGAAGCCTGAAAGCGACCACGCCGACGATTCGACTGATACCAGAGAGAAACCTGAGAACGGCCATCGGGCCGGTTACGTTGGAACGCTTTTTCCGACGCGCACCCTGAGAAAATATGTGCACACTACGCTCTGACGATATTACGATTCAATACATTCTGACGATAACGGCAAAGAGTACAAGTGGTTCACTCTACTTCCTTCAGAGAGAAACCTGAGAGCGGCCACCGGGCGAAAGCAGATGCAGAGAAAAGCCTGAGAGCAGGCATGGCTGCATTTACACATAGACATATATAATTAAAAAGAAGCCTGAGAGCGGGCATGGCTGCATTTACAGCGTTATGGAAAAGTTGGCTGATTCGCAGCGCCAACTGGGTCCACTTTTCATGGACATGAACTACTAAGCCAATGTCCACGATTTGTCGGTACTATTCCGTGCTATGTCCATAATTATTTGGTTCTGTTCTGTGCTATGTTCACGAGCGAGCTAGATTAGTTAGATAAAAACGAAGAATCGGTCTTCGTCTCACCACCAGCGAATAGACAATCGCGACGAAGCGAGCCAGCAGCGATGTTATCGTAAGGCAGACGTCGCCGTCCTCCTTTTCATCCTCTTGTTTTCCTTTCCACATTGTTTTATATTCATAATTCGGGAAGAAAATAATTTCGAGAGTTCGGACGATTTCTAGCAATGACGCGACAGAGATAACGCGCGGCCACATTAATTTGTTATGACTTTTATATTACTTATAATTACATAAACGCCTATATATGCAAATTAGATAATTATTGCGCGTATGTTTTAATATTGTACAATATGGCATATAATAACAACAACTTCATTTCTTGCAGTATTTTTTAAGATCTCGTTGAGGTCGTGAATTAATTATTTTCTTCATCAATCCGTTTTCTGCAAAAATTAAGATTTTTTAAATAAAATATAAAATGTTTCTCTTTTCTTCTCTCCGAAGAGTTAATTAAAAAATATATACTCCACAGAGTCAACTAACAAATGTGTAGTCAGAAGAGTCAATTCAAAAGTGTGCTTCGAAAAGTCAATTTAATAGCGTATTCCGAAGAGTCAATTTGAAAGCGTACTCTGAAAAATCAAATTAATATTGTCATCCGAAAAGTCAATTTATAATAGAATATTTACTTCGATGATTCAGCTAAAGAAAAAAACATTTATTTATTATTATATTCAGAGAATAATATTTAATTTATTATTTATACCTATCTTACTTATGCTTACCTTACATATACTTCTTTCAATGAGAAATTTAATTTGTTGACTGATTAAGATTCAGATTTGTTAAAATATCTCTTATGCGCAACTCTTGAACAGGTAGGTAGTAAAATAATTTTCTTTCTTTACGAATTTTATAAACTTTTCACGAACATAAAAATTGAAAGATTCTCAGAGAACAAATAACTTTTCTTGAACATTTAAATCAAAGGAAAATCTTTTCCCATTAATAAAGAATGAATAATTAATACCTCACACGAGAGGAATCTTCATCCTTGAAATAACCGCGTGATTTTGCTTTTAGAAAAGTATAATATTGATGTAATAGTAACAAATGCTATAACGGTGCAAATCTTAAACGTTTTTGAGAAATGTAGTTTGAAGTTTAGTTTTTTCTGTTAATATCGTTATAACAGAAGAATTACCAATTTGCTTCAGTAGCGCTGTGGATCAGGCTTTGTGATATGAACGTAGAGGTTGTTCAAGTGTGTTATTTTTACTATCACAGGGAGAACTATGTAGAATGTATAATAATACGCAGACAAATTCTTTACATAATCATACTTATTTCTTTTAGCATAAATAAAAATGATCAATGCTAACGTGATAAGTGTATATCGCAATTTACGTGTACGCAATTGTACACATACACACATATACACACGTATACCAATGATGTCAAAACCGAACAATTCGTGAAAACTTTTTATTGACCGCAATTGTACGCAAAGACGAAAGAGAAGTACACGGGTCTCCGCGGATATCTCGTCATATTAATTGTCTATGAGCTGATAAACAATTGATTTCCGATATTTACAAGTTACGCTTGTCCGCAGCTTGTTCGGTTTTGATATCATTGGTATCAGTGATGCGAATTTGGTGACGGGCTTGCACGAGGATTCTCCTCCCCCCCCCCATATACGCACACAGCCAGCTCGGTCAATCCGCGTGAGCCACGCGATCGGCAATTGTCGACGCGCCGAGCGAGCGAGCGAAAGAGAGAGAGAGAGAGAGAATATCATTCCCTCCTTGTCGCTCTTGTTCTCGCTCAGCGAGCGAGCCTAATTCTTTCTTACCCATAATCTGAATCGCGGGCGCGACTGTCTCTCTCTCCTTTCCTCTCTATGACAATACTGAAAAGTTTTGTCTACTCGGCGCACCGAAATTATTACAAATAATATTTTATTATTAATAATATTATTATTTGTAATATATATTATTTGTAATATATTTTTTTATATATTGTAATCTTTATTGGCTCCCCTGGGGGTTACAATTCTTATCCTAACTTTTACATTCCTCTCGCTTTCTTTTCTCTTATATCCTAATCGAGAGAGAGAGAGAGAGAAAGGGAGAGAGAGAGAGGAAGAGAGCTCCTCACACACATGTCAATCTTTTCCATTCTCTCCCCCTCTCTCACTCTCCACTCCTTTCCTCTCATTCCATGACCTCCGTTTCCGGTGCTCCATCTATCTTCCTCCTTCTCCGCCATCTTCCCCCTTCCTTCTCCCTTCCTCCTCCTTCCACTCCTCCCCACCATTCTTCCACTTCCTTCATCCACCTCTCCCCTTTTCCCTCCTCTCCCAGTACCTCCCTTTCCATCCCCTGCCATTCCCTTTCTTCCCCCCATTCTGTACACACTTCCCATATATACTTCCATGTTTCTTCCCTTCTCCCACACATCCTGCATCTCCTCTTTTCCTCCTCCTCCCAATACCTTCCTCCTCTTAACTCACATCCCATCCTGAACATCGCTATCCTTCTCCATCTTTTCTCTCCCTACCCCCTTTTCAAATATTCTGGTACCCCTTCCCTTTCACCCTTCCATATCCCTCATTATCTTGATTCTCTTATCTTTTTCCATCTTTCCTCCTCCTGTCTTCTCCCCTCTCTCCTCCTTATTTCCTCTCCCCTTATCTCCCCTCCTACCACCCTTAACTCCTCCACCTCTTCTATTTTCCATCCACTTTCCTCAAAAAAACTTCTCCTTTCTTCTTCCTATTTCCCCAGTTCCTTTCCTCTCCTTGCTCTATTCCTCATCTCCATCCAGCACCTTCTTGCTATCTTTCCTCCCTTCCCTTCCTCCAGTCTCTTCTCATATCCCCATGCTCTCATTCCCGCTCTGTTTCTCATTAATTTCCTCTGCATCTCCTCTCTTATTATATACCCTGGGGTCCACCTCTCTACCCCCGATATCCATCTTAAATATCTTTCCTGTAGCTCCTCTATCGTTCTCCTCTCTTTCCATCTCCATATCTCTACCCCGTAACTTATCACCGACCACACCAACTTGTTGAACAGCCATACCTTCCTTCCCCAGTCCTTTCCAAACCTCCTCTTTCCTATCACCCATACTTGTCTCATCACCTTCGCACCTTTCTTTACCCTATCCTTTTGGCTCCTCTTGTCCCCCGTTCTTCCTCATCCCGTATCCTAAATATTTATATTCCTTTACTTCCTCTATCTTCTTCCCTTTCCACTTCCAATCCACTTTCTTCCATTTTCCACCACTTTTCCTGCACCTCGTTATTTTCGTTTTCTCTATATTTATTTCCAATCCCTTCACTTCCAAGTATCCCTCCAGTTTCCCCATCATTCCCTTCATCCCCTCTTCATCCTCTGCCAACACTGCCAGATCATTCGCATATGCCAATGTGTAGTTTTTTTTGGTCACGCAGGGGAAATCCATCATGGATACCCCCCGACTCTTGGGGTGTCAGGGGGTCACGTCGGACTCTTACCGACTAAAATCCCTGCGGGATGTCTACCTGTCGGACCGTGAGGAGAGGAGTCAGGGGAACTGCTCCCGCATTCCCTCCCCAACCCCCCGGCCGCAGAGCACCGGATGGCCTTCTGGTGCCTCCGTTGTAGCAGAGAGGAGACATCCACCCTCCCTCCTTATCGCCCCCTCCCTGCTAGTCAGGGAGGGAAGGGATTTTGGGGTAGTGGACCCAACCCCAACTGGGTGTTCCATTCCCCCCTGTCCCTACCTGTCCGACGCGCGGGGGGAACCAGGGGATCCACCTCGGACGAGTACTTCGATGGGCTTGCCCTAATCGGATTCCTCGGATCGCCCGCGGACGGAGTCGGGCCCGAGGCGGCCGAGGAGGAGAACTTGGCCCCCTGTTATCCAGGGGTCCTTCTTCTTCTCCCTCGGCCGGTGCCACCTCGGGTCGGCTGCCAATGCCGCCCCCCCGGGGAGCATCGACCGCCCCGCCTCCTCCTGAGGCGGTTCTCCGGTCGGCGCTCCCACTCGGCGGCCTCCTTCTTGGACATAACGTCCCTGCAGAAGGAGGCCGCCGCCTCCCATAACTCCTCGCTCCCGCACATGGCCCGGACCAAGTGTGGGAGCAAGACATCCTCCTCCCGGTACCCCACCGCCCCGGCCAGGACACGGCGTTCCTCCCTCCAGGCTGGGCAAGCAGCCAGAGTGCGCCGTGTCCTTATTCACAGGGCAGTGGTGGTATCGGGTGGTGAGCTCCTCGACGATCCGGTGTAGGTACTTTCTGAAGCATCCGTGCCCCGTCAGCACCACATGGAAGGTCAATCCACACCCCCTCTTGCCTGCCATTTCGGGCAGGCAAGGGCGGACAGCTTCGGCTGTCTCGCGCCCGTGCCCCCGTGGGTCGGACAAAATGTCCCCCACGTGTTCAGGGTACGGGCCACGGCCTAGGACCTCAGACCTCTCAGGGCCGTCAGATCCCCCTCTTCGCGGAGCTCCTTAGTCCTCCAGTAGAGGACTCGCCTCTCCTCGGCGAGGAGCTCTACGGGAGGGGAACCGGCCAGGATGGTCGCCGCCATGGAGGAGGGCAAGGAGCCCGGTAGTGCGTCAGCCTACAGGTCGATCTGCCTGCTGGACGAAGCGCAAGATGCTGAAGCGCATCATCGCTGACCGCCTCGTCCAGCACATATTCTCGAGTGGGCTGGTCCTCCACGACGCCAGTACGGGTTCAGGCCCGGAC